ATGTATTTTTGTGTCCGTAGTGCGGTAAATGGCGTTCCCTGCTGAAAACTTTCAGTGTGTCATAGCATGAAATTCCAACTAAAACAATTGGATTGTCGTAATTACAACGGCACAACTTCAATACAATCTGATTCCATAATGCTTATACAGCTAAACCTGTGACTACCGACCACCCCTTGGTGCCAGCAAAAGCGGTCTTTAGTAGCAGGTGGTCTTTAGTTAGAGGTTTGCACTGCGTGACCATAATATGGATCCATTATGATATTTATGTCAAAATGCAGCTAATACAATTCCCCAGGACTTGCACAATGCCATTCTTATTTTAGGTCAAACAACACTTCGAGAGAAAGACAGAGAGATGGAGAGAGAGAGAGAGAGAGATTATTTTTTTGCACACATCAAATTCAGTAGCTACTTCTTAAGCCAGGAGTCAAACGTTCTCTGTGGAAGTTTCGTTTTGCGCTGGGCTTCGAATTTGTTCATACAATCAATCGTACCGACTGTCCTTGTTCTGACTTCTCGATTGCATGAACGCGATCCTTCAGCATCAGGACCTTGCGGTGATGCTTTGTTTCTGGATTCCTTGATGCCATCGTCGATTCGTCTGTAGCTGTATGACTGGGGTGAAAGAGCCGCTCAGTATTCGTTTCTCCTCCAGGTACTCGAGTAGTAACATCGATCAGAGAGCGCTTCCGATGCGCTCTCCAAGACGTTTCCTATCATGTATATTCTTGATAGCGCTTGAAATTCTGACAGGTGTAGTGCAGTCCACACCGACTCCAAAGTCAAAATGACCTGCGTTCATTTGTTCAGCTGTAGTATCGAAAGATTCCTTTCAGGACAATGGAAAATCAGCAACATTTCAAGAAGGAGCTTCGAGCAACATTTTTGATTTCCTACATCGCGGTCGCTAGTTACGGGTCAAAAATCGTCTTTGGGACAAGAAAAGGCGGTCGCTGGTCGCATTCAGCAGGTAGTCGCTAGTCACAGTGGATTTTGAATGTGAGACCGTCCGTGCCTGGCCAAGTAGTCGGTGGTACCAGGCTGGTCGCTAGTCACGGTGGTCTTTAGTTACAGGTTTTACTGTAGTTCGAAGTATTGGCTATTGAATTTTGGTTTAACCGGACCCCCCCCCCCCCATGTCTGCAATATTATTCCCGTAGCTATGCAGAAGACGTTACTTCAGTAACGTCTGGCGCTAGCCAGGGTCCACACAGCTTTAATTTGGTATTTGTGTGTTTGTTTGTTTGTGTGTTTGTCTCACGCCTGGCGCTATCCCGTATCTGTCCCGTACCGTACCGTCAAACACAGCTGGCCACATACAGCTGGCCGCAATATTCAAATAGGGCTTTCAGAACCAAGATCATAACGTGAAGCAACTTGGAAGAATGAGTATGAATGCGAAGTGTATGGGGGAATGCATGTAGGGCGATAGTGCGGGTTCGAATCCCAGGTTATGCCTTAAAAAAATAGGAGAATTGAAAAATTTATAACATCCTTATGCTTTTTTTGCCTAGGTCATCAAGGCGGTAGACGGTGTCGTATTATCCTCGACCGTACCTGTCCCGTACCCTACCATCAAAGACGGCTGGCCACAATGCATATTCAAATAGGGCTTTCAAATGCAAGATCATAACGTGAAGCAACTTGGAAGAATTAGTATGTATGCGAAGTGTATCGGGGATGCATGCAGGGCGATAGTGCGGGTTCGAATCCCAGGTTATGTCTTAAAAAAAAGGAGAAATTTATAAGAATTTATAACATCTCTATGCTTTTTTTGTCTAGGTCATCAAGGCAAAATAGGTTAGCGTAGGGCCCTGAGCTTCTAAGCTCTCTCGTTCATTTTTTATAGGACCTTAGGAGCCGTACCTAAATACTAATTCTTGTACTTACTTAGAGACGTCTAACAGACGTTTCTTTCTTGACCCACCCACTCACCCCCAGAAACGCCCCCCCCCCCCCCCCAAATGCAGATAATACCACTCATAATATACACCATACTATGCACATATATACAATACAGTCGACTCAAATTATAACGAACTTGCATATAGCAAATTTCGTGACATAGCGAACCCTTGTCCATGTCCCTATTTGAACCCATACAAAATTGACCCTTTATCGAACAGTTACATCGTATTATGTGCATGTATGTGTCCCTGTCTCCCTGTCTACTCTGCCGTGATGCGTGCAGTGCAGTGTAGTGCGTCTCAACTCCTACTGTGTACTAGCAAGAGTACATAACTCCAAGAGTGCGCAACTGCCTGCACAACCTCTATGCTGTGCTGCGACGGCAGAACTTCACATCACGTGACATGGTTCAAAAGGTTATGCTGGCAAACAGTGCAAAGTGACCACAAGAGAGTTGTACCCAAAGCTGGGCTGCGTACAACCCAGTATCTATCATGCACTAGAGTGCACGGGTTCATCACGTGATGTGAAGTTCTGCCGTCGCAGACCCCATAGCTGGAGTTGCACACTCTTGGGTTATGTACTCTTGGTACTAGCAAGAGTACATAACCCCAAGAGTGCGCAACTGCCTGCACAACCTCTATAGGCTCTATGCTGTGCTGCGACGGCAGAACTTCACATCACGTGACATGGTTCAAAAGGTTATGCTGGCAAACAGTGCAAAATGACCACAAGAGAGTTGTTCCCAAAGCTGGGCTGCGTACAACCCAGTATCTATCATGCACAGAGTGCAAATAATGTGTACGGGTTCATCTCGTGATGTGAAGTTCTGCCGTCGCAGACCCCATAGCTGGAGTTGCACACTCTTGGGGCTATGTACTCTTGGGGTTATGTACTCTTGGGGTTATGTACTCTTGCTACTAGCTGTAGCAGTGCTACATCATATACATGACAATATTATTATTGTGTGATTGTGTGCTTGTACACGTGCGGTATGGTATCAACACTATGCATGCACTCCGAAATGTATTTTTTAGAAACGCCTTGCAGGGGAACCCACCCACCAGAAACGCCTCTTAGGCAGCGGTCACACATGAAAAGCTTGCACCGCTTTTGCGGAGGTGAAAAGCGTAACTTCCGCAGCCGCTTTCGCGGAACACACGATGCAGCGGCCCCACATCCATGTAGACTACTGTGCTCCTCAACGCTCCGCTTTGGCGGAGAGAATGCAAATGCAGCACGTCCTATGAAATTTTAGAAATTAGTGTTCTTGTCCGAGTTGAAGCGACCTTCGCTTGTACAAGACTTGAAGTAGAGCTATCGTGGATCGCTGACAGGCTGCTGAATGTGTACAAGACTTGAAGTAGAGCTATCGTGGATCGCTGACAGGCTGCTGAATGTCTCCTGTCAAGTACACGAGTGGATTTGAGGCACATTCACTGCGGGCCCAGTACGGTTGTATTTGAATATTAGTTTAGTTTACATCAATATCAAATTCAAAATTAGTTGTATAGCAGGGTGTCGTTGCCTCCTCCATGATCCATCATCGACCCCAGCGACTGCGTGGATGCCTGCAGTTGCAGTGAGGGTGTGGCAGAGTACTCTACTACTCCCTGGTTGCAGTCCTAGTGCTGCATACTCTGGTGGACGCATTGTTGGAGAGAGTTAGAGATAGCCCGCGATCGGGGCCAAGGAGTTGGGAGAGGGATTCCCTCACCAACTATCCACTCATAACGATGCAGTATCGTTTGCGAGATCTCCAGAACGTACAGTTCATTGGCAAAGAAGAACAATATGAAAACTGAATACCAAACGCCGGTTACGGCAACCAAACAGCACCAGAACTCAGTGCAGAAGTACATGTGCATGTGTAGCACACCAAACTCCAAAGCCATCACCATGCAGGTTCCGCCAAGGCGGATCCGCAAAAGGGGAGGTTCCGCTCGCATTTTTTTGGCGTAGCGAAATCCAAACTTTCCGCCAAAGCGTAACTAACGCCTCCGCCGTTGCCTCGGGAAGCGTAAGTAATTAGTTTACGCTTTGGCGGAACCGGCCAAAAAAGTGCATGACTGTGTGACCGCGGCCTTACTGGCCCTTAGACGTCTCCAATGTATTTACGGACGGCCCCTTACACATATCTGCCACGGTATGCACACGTTTGACTGAATCTTACCAAAATACGTAGCCGCTTGTCCGCAAGGAGAGATACGCACGCTTGGACTACGCCAGTCCCGGTGGAAGCCCTGCTTCATCTCTAACTGGGAGTCCTACAATGCCATCGTCAAGCACTGAAATTGGGCTGCGCGGGCAGACCCAGAACTCTGGTAGGGAAACATGTCTACGTAGCGGAGGTTTCTGCGCACGAAGAAACACACAGTTCGCTAAACGGCTGGAGATAAGTGGCACTTCTTCGCCGGCCCAGTTCCGAGGTCAGAACCGTTGATTACTCCTTGAAGAACATTCATGAAGTGGGGCAGTTCGCCGCTGCTCGACACGCTGAGTGGATCTACTATGGGCCATGGGAGTAAGCAACACAATATTCAATAATTAATTTGTATACTGTCAAAATGATGAAAGACTGGCGAAACAACGATGCTTTTCTTCCTACTACTACTACTACTAGTACTGTACTACAGTAAAACCTGTAGTGGCGACCACTTGGATATGGCGACCACTCGACCATGGCGACCACTTTTCCTTGTCACGATCACGGACGCACTCAAAACAACTCGGATATGGCGACCACTCGCTCAACGCGACCGACGACCACGCACCCGCGACCGCGTACAATCATGTATGTAGTAGACCTACTCGTGGTACCATGGATACCGGTAACCGATAGTAGATCTGCTACAACTACTTACAGTCAGTACAAGTCATGCATGTAGTAGTCCGCCTTCTAACTAAACTGCTAGCTCTAGAGCCTATGGCTAGCCTTATACTTAGCTAAACTGACTCGATCACCATGATCACCAGATCACTGCCCTAATCTATTTCATGTGACAATAATACAATCATTACGTCATGTACAAATAGTAAATGACAAAATTATTGTGTTTTTGATGGTAGGTGTGCGCTAGCGTGAAATACTGAAGAAGCACCGGCGAACTGCTACACTTTCATGAATGTTCTTCAAGGAGTAATCGCCGGATCTGACCGCGGAGCTGGGCCGGCGAAGAAATGCCACGTACTAGTACAATCAGTCAGGTTTCTCCAGCCGTTTAGCGAACTGTGTGTTCCTTCGTGTGCAGCAACTCCCCCGCTAGGTCTGGATCTGCCCACGCGGCTCCGTTCTAAGACTAGTGAGTACTACTAGTGTGCTTGGAGACGGCACTGCAGGACTCGCAGTGAGAGATGGAGCAGGGCTTCCACCCGGACTGGCATAGTCCAAACGTGGAGATCACTGAGTCCTGCAAAGAAGTGGCTACAATCGTGGGTAAGATTGAACATCATTATGACTAAAATTTCATACATATCACGTGCCTGTTGTCAGGTCGTTGCTAGCATTTGGCCAATCAGAGCAGCACCGTACCCATGCCCATTAGGAATGACCCCAGGCGTACTACGTACGCTGGTGCACTGCCAAATATGCAACAAGCCATGCCTTTTACGGCAATGACCTGGTACATAATTGGCAGTACTCCAGCGCACGTAGAACACATGGGACCATCCCTAAGGACACCACATGCACTCGCACACACCACACAAAACGCAACTACTTACGTGCACCGTCCAAAACAATTATATATTTACTAGTAATGTCGACATAGGAGAACTAATTTATAACGTGACAATAGGACACAGCATGTCATTACCATGCATTACTAAATTCAAGTCAATTGAGGCGAACAAGTCGACAGGTGAACATACATCACAAAGTTACCTACTAGTATCTGGAATAGATCAGATTGTATCTCGAACTCCTACAAAATATACAGTTACATCTACATGTACATGTACTTCAAATGTGCCTAGCTACATGTCCAGTGTACATGGACGTCAAGTAAACTGAAGGCAATGCGAACAAAATCAGATGTATGTGAAAAAGTATCATTGTTCCGAATAAGAACACTTACAATGTACTCTCAAAACTACTAGTAGTCTAATTACTAGTGCCACTTGGTCAAGGATGTTTGCGTCCAACGTCAACTCCAAAGCAGCAGCGAATCAGCTAACTTCCATACCGCCCAATAGGCAACACTAACACCAAAATGCAAAGGCATATTCCTGGAACTGCAAGTAAATCTGACACAAAACGTTCTATCATTCCACGGAGAAAGCTCCTTCTGATCTTGTTCGACCCTTCATTCATATGACAGCTGATTGGAACCTTCCTCCTCCCTTGACCATGTTTACGTTATTTGTCTACAACTAGGCACGTGGCATGTATGAACTATAATAAACACATGGTGCGTCCTGCATTATGGCTGATTGTATGCCCTAGTGCGTAGCCCTCGGTGCACGACCTCGGGCTACGCACCAGGGCATAAATCAGCCATAATGCCCTCCGTACTATGTGTTATTATTAGTGCTGAAACGATTATATCGATTACTCGTTACTTACTCGATAAGAAATAGATCGAACGGTTATTTCGATTTTATCGGCTAAACGAGTAGAATGGTACTTACGCTCGGTATGGGATTTCCTCCCTTTTGCCGAGTTTGGGGGTTGCACAAAGCGTGCATGCACCGAAAGTGTTGTGAGTACGACACGATGGTACATGACTGTACACTTGCAACGTCGACGTACGTGTAAGTACAAGCGCGATCTGAGAAACATCGACGCGATCACTGTTGCCATATTTTTAGCTAACTACTTTTCTTACATACAGCATGCAGGACTGGCCGGCTCAGTAGGTGTCTACACTAGCTGCAGGTGCTGGAGTTCTCTCCGCGTGCGAGTTGTCTTGAGCCAATTGGCTGGCCAAAGACAGTAAAGTGGTTTTCAGTTTCATGTTTTCCGTTCTATCGACGGTTCCCGAACCAGTTTGGTCGACGACGAGCTAGGCCTGGCGTCTGGTCCAATTTAGAGCATAGACATGAAAAGCAACTAGTTACTTGTTGGCGCGCCTCTAGTCAGCTCATCCGTCGAAATCCGCCGATCTGCACCCCTGGCCGGCTTCTCTGACTTCATCGTCGGACTCAGCGAAGTCACAGGCGAAGGGCACCATCAGCTCTTGGGTTGCCACCAGTGCGTCGCCTCTGTCTTGTCCGTAATCGTCTGGTCAGTCCGAACAGCTGACGGGCTTGTTGCGGGATCATCGGATCTATGCGGCCGCTTTCCGTCGTTGGCGATGTTGGACTCGTAAATTTTTTGAAAGTCACAGAATGCACATGACTGTACTGATGTAGTTACAATAATAATCGTTTAGCCGATCGTTATGGTATCAGCTAAGCCACTAAGGAAAAAACGTAATCGTTTCAGCACTAGTTATTATATACATAATTATTCCCGTAGCTATGAAGAAGACGTTACTTCAGTAAAGCGGGATTCACAGAAGCTTTTTTGCGATGTGACACGCGATGCGACGTGATCTGCGACGGATGCGTGCGATGCGAACTCGCGAAATACCATTCACAGAAGAAGTCAGCGATGCGACAAATGTCTTGCTGATTTGGGTACGTCACCATGATATTCGTTCGGTTTGGTAAAACTTGTACAAATTTATAGGCAACTCTTGAACCTTTGTACAACTTTGCTGTAGAAAAGGTCAAAATCGTACGCCAAATCGCTTGTCGCATCGCAAAAGTTGAGCCAAGCTCAACTTCTGCGATGGCTCAGTTGCGGCAGTTGCGTGGGGTGCGAGATGGCTGCGATTTGGGGATTTCCCGGTTTCGCGGCAGTCGCATCGCAAAATAAGCTTCTGTGAATATCGAATCCCGCTTTTAGCAGGATTCACCGAAGCTTTTTTGCGATGCGACACGCGATGCGACGGGATCTGCGATGGACGCTACGATGTGAACTCGCGAAATACCATTCACAGAAGAAGTCAGCGATGCGACAAAGTCTTGCTGATTTGGGTACGTCACCATGATATTCGCCCGGTATGGTACAACTTGTACAAATTTATAGGCAACTCTTGAACCTTTGTACAACTTTGCTGTAGAAAAGGTCAAAATCGTACGCCAAATCGTTTGTCGCATCGCAAAAGTTGAGCCAAGCTCAACTTCTGCGATGGCCCAGTTGCGGCCGTTGCGTGGGGTGCGAGATGGCTGCGATTTGGGGATTTCCCGGTTTCGCCGCAGTCGCATCGTGTGTCGCATCACAAAAAAGTAGGGGTGAACGAGTGCCAAAATTGGGGACTCGAGTACTCTTTGAAAAAAATGAGCGAGTATCCGAGCGAGTACGAGTATTTTACTGACAACATAAAACAAAGCACTGCACACACTCTCGCACCACCCAACGTAGTACACCCGCTGCACATGTAGTCTTGCATGCAGCATGGTGCAGGAAATAGTCTGAACTACCGTCTTTTGCTGGTAAGTAGGGACAAGCAATAATTTCGCGCTTGTATGGGCCATCAGTACCAGTCAGAGTAACAGACATGCTTGATGTACATGCATACAATACACTGTACATAGGATACTTCGAGTATTTTGAGAAACGAGTACTCGCTCGTTTCAAATTTTCGAGCGCTCGAGTATTCAATATATATTATACTCGTTTCACCCCTACAAAAAAGCTTCTGTGAATCCCGCTTAAAGGGAAGTATACCCTAAAATCAAATTTTCCCAGTTGTAGTCTTCGGGGTGCTGAGTCGAATGGTCTTGGTCACAGGAAGCTAAGACGCTCCCTTCCTCTTTTATTCCCAATCAAACTCGCGCACTTCCACCGAAATTGGGTGACTGCGCCCTACTAGATAGGGATTTGCATGGAAAAAGTCACTAAAAACGCCGTTTCGTTCTTATAAAAGCGCAGATGACCGCGATTGGTCAATATGTTGTAGTCTTTTGGCCGCTGAGTCGACTGGTTTTGGTCCGAAAAGGCTGCGATGCAGCATTTGGCCCTTATTCCCAATCGAACACGGTTGAGTAAACGGTCACGTGCTCATTTACAGCCTGTTTGGGCCCGTTTATGTCACTCGAGTTGAACCTTTGAACCAGGGAGTCGTAAAAGCCTCTTACGAATCCCTGCTTTGAACCTTTGAGTTGAATATTGATGTGAAAATTGTACTCTGCAGGCACGGTGACCAGGCGACTGGTGTACGCATGACCACGTGACCGCTCACTCAACCGTGTTCGATTGGGAATAAGGGCCGAACGCTGCATCGCAGCCTTTTCGGACCAAAAACAGTCGACTCAGCGGCCACAACATATGGACCAATCGTGGTCATCCGTGCGTTTTTTGTTAGAACGAAACGGCGTTTTTAGTGACTTTTCCATACAAATCCTTATCTAGTAGGGCGCAGTCACCCAGTTTCGGTGGAAGTGCGCGAGTTCGATTGGGAATAAAAGAGGAAGGGAGCGACTCAGCGTCCTCGGACCAAGACCATTCGACTCAGCACCCCGAAGACTACAACTGGTGAAAATTTGATGTTAGGGTATACTTCCCCTTTAACGTCTGGCGCTAGCCAGGGTCCACACAGCTATAATTTGGTGTTTATTCCCGTAGCTATGCAGAAGACGTTACTTCAGTAGCGTCTAACGCTAGCCGGGGTCCACACAGCTTTAAGTTGGTGTTTGTTAGTGGCGGACAGACTGACGGACCTCCGTCTGGCGCTATCCCGTATCTGTCCCGTACCGTACCGTGCCATCAAAGACAGCTGGCCACAATATTCAAATAGGGCTTTAAAATGCAAGATCATAACGTGAAGCAACTTGGAAGAATGTGTATGAATGCGACGTGTATCGGGTAATGCATATAGGGCGATTGTGCGGGTTCGAATCCTACATTATGATTAAAAAAAAAGGAAAATTGAAAAATTTATAACATCCCTATGCTTTTTTGCCTAGGTCATCAAGGTGGTAGACGGTGTCGTATTACTCTCAGCCGTACCTGTCCTGTACCGTACCGTACAATCAAAGATGGCTGGCCACAAACAGCTGGCCACAATATTCAAACAGGGCTTTCAAATGCATCACAAAATCATAACGTGAAGCAACTTGGAAGAATTAGTATGTATTCGAAGTGTATCGGGGATTCATGCAGGGCGATAGTGCGGGTTCGAATGCCAGGTTATGTCTTGGAAAAAATAGGAGAAATGAAAAATTTACTATGCTTTTTTTATTATTATTTTAAACTCAATCTCGTAGCATGTGCACGCATTGCTAATGTGGGGAGCAACCCCAGAGATGAGGGCGATAACCAGCCATGGTAAAAGTACAAAAGAAAACAATTTTTTTTTGCTTAGGTCATCAAGGCAAAAAAAGCATAGCGTAGGGCCCCGAGCTTCCAAGCTCTCTCGTTTTTTTTTTTTTTTGTGGCGTGCAGACCTC